TGTTTATGTTTTCGCTCAACCCTACCATTTTGTTGAGGAGTTCCCACACAAGAAGTTTGAAATATAATTTCAGTGGCAGAAAAAAAATCACGCAAGCAATGGAATTCAGTATCGTTGTCACTCTGAACGACTTTGATTGATTGGGAGAATTGTCTATCAATCATAGCGACAAAAGACAAAAACATTTTGAGAACCTCAGTTTTATCAACCATCAAATAAATCCAAACTGCTCGCGAATAATCATCTATTATAGTCAAGAAATAACGCGCACCACAAGAGGATTGATGTTTGTAAGGACCCCACAAATCACAATGTATTTTCTCAAATATTCGAGATGCTCTGCTATTACTCAAAGGAAACTTTTCTCTAGGTTGCTTAGCATGAAAGCAAACCTCACAAGCTTTATTAAAACTTCCCACAGTTTCAACAGAGGGAAGTAGCTTTACCACTTTTTCAGATGGATGACCCATTCGTTGATGCCAAAGATTGATTGAAGTGGTCACACCATTTACTGTAAGATGTTGCACTGATTCGGTTCCCTTGAAGTAGTAAAGTCCATCCCGTCTAACACCCGTTCCAATCAGCTCCCTCGATTGGTCCTGTATAGCACACATATGAGAGTTAAAGAGAACACTGCTCTGCATATCATCATTTAACTGAGAAACAAAATAAGATTGCAACTTAAAGAACATGATGAAGAATAATTTTTTCTGTTAATCGAACTGAGCCTTCTTGAGTTGCAACCACTGTTTTACCGTTAGGTAAACCAACAGGGCAGTGAAATATATCTTTTGCATAAGTCATCCAAGTGGAATCACCAGTAACGTGACGAGAGGCCCCTGTGTCAATTATCCACAATCGTGCATCAAACTTACCAGTCAATTGATCATCAGAAACCTTTGTACCACTAATTAGCCCTGTTAATGCCTTCCATTGGTCCGGTGAGAATAAATGAGATGAGGGAACTCCACAGCTATCAGTGGGCTTTTTGGTTAAAGTGGCATTGGCACGGGGAACACCTCTACCCCGTCCACCGCGTCCTCCACGCGCGTTGTTGCCACGATTCTCATACCAATCTGGATAGCCATGTATTTCGAAGCATTGAAATACGTCATGGCCAGATTTCTTGCAGTGAGTACAAGAGAGGTGAGATTTGTCTGGTTTATCAAAGCGACCACGACCCTTGCCAGAACTGGTATTGACAGCAAAACTCATAACTTCTGGTGACTTGTCTTCGGGGACTGTAGTTGAGCGAATTGTCTCTTCTTGAAGGACCATTTGATAAGCACGGCCAAGTGATGGTAATGGATCTATGGACAGAATATTAGTGCGAACTTGTGCATAATACTCTGAACAAAGACCCATTAAAAATTGATGTAGCTTGCTATTTTCTCGTCGTGCCTCATGTTCACTGCCAGCGGTACAAGAGACACAATAGGAACATTTAATAATAGGCTCATGGGTATGTAATTCTTCCCATAGTGCTGACAACTGGCCAAAATATATGGACACAGACATATTCTTAGACTGCTCACATTTAACAATAGATGATTTTAATTGTTGAATGCATAGCCCATTAGTCACTGCAAATCTTTTCTCAAGAGTATCCCAAATCTTTTTGGCATCCCTGTATTTAGCAAGAGAGCGTTTTACCTCAGGACTAATGGTGTTCATTAGCCAAGAAATAAGCATAGCGTTGATTGTGGTCCAATCCGACTGAGAACAAGGTGGAGTCGGTCCAGTGATCGTTCCATTAAGGAAATCAAATTTTTGTCGTGCCTCCAACGCCGTTTGTATGTCAGCAGCCCAATCATCATAGTTGTTTCCGATCAAACGTGTCGGGGTTATGAAATCACCCGGTCGATCTTGAGGACCAAGGTAAAAGGAAGAGTTTGGTTCAATTTTGGGTTGAGGTTGGGGAGGCTGCGCCAGCGGCTGGTTGTCGTCGGCCATGGATGAGTTTATACGCAGGTATAAACCTTAGCGACTGATACCATGTAGAATACAAATAAGAAGAAAATGGAGAATTGATTATATATTGTCTCTTGTGTCTAAACCTCAATACAAGCACTCTATTTATAGTGCCAACAAGATGATGAAGAATGAATACAAAGAAAATAAAGAGACACATGAAAATTAAATTAGATGATTAATATCATCAAATATCTCAACAATATATATATATATATATATATATATATATATATATATATATATATATTATGTTTTAGTATTACTAATGAATTTTATTATTTTATTATGTGTAACTAATTTAAATATTATTTTTTGAAAAAAAAACTAATAAGATGATAAGTGGTGCGTACCCAGGGTGGGCACCCGCACCCGGTGGGGTGGGACTGGGTTTTGAAAAAGTCCACCCGATGCGGGTTGGAGGAAGTGGGGATGGGTGGAGAAAATATAAGGTGGATCGGGTGATGGATGTAGCCCTCCCCGACTCATTGCCATTCCTATCCAATAGGCCGTGTTATAATTCAACATGTGACAATTCTATCATTCCCTCTATAAAGTTAGATTAACCCTGTGTGTATCAACCCAAAAAATGGAGCACAAATTTTAAATGTAAGTGCATGTCAAATATCTATTAAATTGTGTATATTTCATATACTATTTATCAGCTACTATAAATTTATTTGTATGTTTTATGCCGCCTGAGGCAAAAAGTCAAGTTGCGATTAATCCAAGAACGAATGCAAAGAGGACAAGTCAATAGCTGAACAAGTAATTTGTTAATTTGTTGAAAGCAAGTAATTTGTTAATTTGTTGCTTTCAACAAATTAATTCATCTGTTGAAGTATTTTTGGTATAAATTTACCTAATGTTTTTGATAGAAAATAATGTGGTACAAATTTTACAAATATGTAGTGACACAAAATTGTCTCGACAAATATTTTAAATGCATTACTTATTGTGACTATGAAATTGACCATAGTTTTTGTGACAATGGAAATGGCAATGTTAGTATAACACGTTTTGCTGTTTATAATTTTTTTTTAACAAAATTTTACAAGAACCAAGTACTTTTCGGACTATAACAAAAAAGTTTTATTAACATAAATTGAATGGTAAAGGACAAAGAAGATTGGAAAAGTAAAAACAATAATAACAATAATAACAAGCAATATGGCCAAAAAAATTAAGCAGAAAAAAGTAAACCATGTCAGAGCAATGGTCATAAAAAGTAAACCATATTAAAGCATTTCATCTTCAAATCATTTCACTCCATTACTACCACTATGAGGGAATCAAAATGTTATTCGTTGAAATAGGTAAGCAATAGAATTAAAGATATATTCTATTATTTGATTCTGTATAACGAATAAACTTTATAAATTGTATTCTGAATTAATGAATATAAATGCAATAAACATTCAAAAAATAATATTACCTCAACACTAACAAACATACAACAAAACAACAAGAACAATAATAGAAGTATAAAACTAGAGCAAATTATACTTTTGGTCATATGACTATAGGGGGCGTGTCAATTTTCGGTTCGTGACTTTTAAAACTAACAATTTAATCCTTTAACTATGTTTTTTTTAGCAGATTTGGTCCTCCCGGCCAAATCACCGGTGAAAATTGGCCGGAAAAACTTAAACCTTTTTAAATTTTTTATTCATGAGGGCAAAATGGTCATTTCATCCCCATTTCTTCTTCTTCCTTGCTGCTAGTGGCCAAGCAGAAGTAGTGAGGGGGCCTTCATCTCTGCTTCTTGATCTATCCTTTTCATGCCACGTAAAAACGTTCTTGTGAACTTCAACCTCTGGGATCTGAACTGGAATTAACTCTGATCTGTTACTTCTGTATATGTTGTTTCTGCTTCAACTTCATATAATTATTGTTTTTTGGTAACCCAGGTTTCCAGCTTCACTGCCAGAAAAATAATTGTTGTTGTTGTTGTTTATGATGATGATGATGTTTGTGTAGGCTGTGATGATAAACGGAATTTTTTGTTTAGTTCACCGGGTTGGGGAATTATCCGACCCGTATCTAGGCGGGGCGACCGGTAGGTCTGCAGCCATGGCGGTGCGGCTTCTCCTCCGCCCTATTTCACAAATCTGAGCCTCGTTTTTGTTGACAACGAAACCCTAAACCCTAAATCTTATTTTGAATTGTGAGAGAAAGGTATAATCAAAGTACACTGTGTGGTCTTGTGTTGCGTGGATCTCTTTAATCGGATCATGTTTCAGTTTCCTGTTCGATCGTGACCCTAGTTCATTGCAGGCGCAGCAAGGAAGAAGAAGAAATGGGGATGAAATGACCATTTTGCCTTCATGAATAAAAAATTTAAAAAAGTTTTAAGTTTTTTCGGTCAATTTCTACTAGTGATTTGGCCGGGAGGACTAAATCTACTAAAAAAAGCATAGTTAAAGGACTAAATTATTACTTTTAAAAGTCACAAACCGAAATTAGCGCGCCCCCTATAGTCATAGGACCAAAAGTGTAATTTGCTCTATAAAACTATAACAACAACAACAACAACCAGCTTGAACTCATGTGCTAATGGGAGTTACATATTTAATTTGGCTCTCTCTCCCCTCTTAGCAGGGGCAGATCTAGGATTTTATTTGAGTGGAGACGAATATGCAAATTTAAAAATATTTATGACAGTCCTTGTACTTAGACTCCGTGACTACCTTAATTAGATGGATACTCAAAAGTATATTTTCTTTTAAAAAAAAAATTCATAACTGAATTTAAATAACAATTTGTTAATTGCTATTACTTTTGCTCCATACAATACCATCATTAATTCAATAGCAATGTTACTGAACATCATATATTATTCATATACATAAACAGAATACACTGCAAACAAAACAGATATTAATTTGTACATAATCTTGAACCATATCAATTATCAAAGCACGATAGCATATGACAATAATGTGATTGGTGTTCTGCCTAACACTAATGGTTGTGATAATCTTGATTAGTAAACTGCATTTTACCTGTGTTTTTTTTAGGGAAAGAACTTAATTCATTGCATCAACAGATAAACAGGCAACAAGAAAAGGGAGCGGGATATCGATCCATTCCCCGCAACCTGACACATAAACGGCTTCCCTAGCAATAAGGTGGGCGGCACGATTCGCAGATTGCTTTACAAAGTGGAATACTACATTATTTAACATAGATGTAGATTCTTTAATGTCATCAACTAAAATACCAAAAGCTGAATAAAAAAGAGCAGCAGTAATAGCATGAAAAACTGTTTGTGAATTTGTTTCAACGTCCACATCTCCCAGCCCCAAGTCCTTAAGCCAACTTAGAGCCTCCTGAATACAATATGTCTCGGCTTCATTCACGCTGAAACCCGCAATTTTTTTTTTGATAATTCCCTCACAAATTAATTCCCTTGGCAGCGATAAACATACCCTCCTCATTCCTTAAAACCCAGCATGCCTATAAGAGTTATTTGCATAATCAAATGATGCATCTGTATTTACCTTGAACCTCCCTAAAGAGGGTACTTTTTATCTATGTTTTAGTTGATTAGTTAGACAGATTACAGATACATGGTTAACACTAATTTAAAAGTCTTAAGTTTATGTCAATTATGTGGAAATCTTGCAGACAACTTAGATTAACAATTGATTATGCATTTACTCAAAAAGTAGTCATCATAATACTTATTGTGTAATTTAAGTTCATACTGCTTTGCAACTTCGAGATGTAGAACCTGCTATATGCCTATATACATAAACACAGTCACATAGACAATATACATTATACATACAATATAATATGAAAATACATTAAAGTAGTTGAAGATTGAAGATTTAAAGAATTAGAGATTTATCAATTAAGATTTAATAATAATATATAAGGATAAATCAGCCTACATGTATGTCAGGGTATAAAAATGATTAAAAATCGCAGCTGAACCTTGTAATAAACTATTAAGGCTGCCTACGTACCCAAGTTTTGATATGCTTGAATTCTAGGATCAAGACACACGTAGTTCTTAGATTACATAGTTTAGTTTGACACTTTGGCTGGATACAATATCAATATTTGGACTTTGGCTTCGGCTTACTATGTTGTGCATTCAATTCATTCTTGATAGTTGCATTCAGTCATGGCCGCTGGGAAGTTTGGCCTTACTGTGGCTGTGGCAATGCTTTTTAGGTTCAGGGAAATCTATCTTCCTCTTCTTGACCGCCTTCTTTTCCGGTTCTTCTTCTTCTTCAGGGTACTTGCACCCTAACATCTTTTTTGTCGCTTCCATTGACTTATCTTGACGAGCCACTGCACGATCATTAATGGCGGCAATGGAGGAGGAGACAACTCTTCTTCTACAGTTTTCTTGAACCCTAGCTAGTTTCTTGATTATTTTTGGGGAATGGGATAGGTTCTTTGGCGTAGAAGTAACCTTGAAGAATTCATCGTCGTCGTCATCGGAGTCGAAACCCAGGTCGTCATCGGAAAACAACTCTTGAGTTGCATTTCCTGGACCCGATCCTCATCAAACAACAACTTCAGGATTCTGCTTCTGTTGTGTTTGTCTCATATATGGATTAGGAATACGAGTTTGCCTCATACTAGGAATAGGAGTGAAACGGGTATACCCTTTGTACCGGGATTAGATGCCTATAAATATATTGGTTGTATTCTAAGGGTTGTGTCACCACTATCACCATCACTATGAATAAGAGTATTGTTTCACTCCCGTGGACGTAGGCATATTGCCGAACCACGTAAATCTTGCTTTCTTTACCCTTTCTGTCATTATTATTTCTTTCTTGTTCCGATTAATCTCAACAAATTGGTATCAGAGCACTGTTGAGATGACCAGTTCATGTACAAAATTTGAGATCAAAGTTTGATGGTACAGGGAATTTTGTGTTATGGCAGTCTAGGGTAAAAGATTTGTTGGCACACCAGGGCCTTCTAAAAAACCTTGAAGGTGGGAAAATCAACTATTCTGGAAGAGGCTGATTTGGGGGAGAAGAAGCAGGAAGCTACGGACGTGGTACATGCTGATGACTCTTATTGTAGTGAAGGTGATGTTCTAGCAGTTACAAGGAACAAGGTCGAACATTGTTTGGACTTGTTGGATGTTTCTAGATGCTAGATGAGAAAGTGGTGAGGGGCGTTATAGTGTTGGGCAGCGTGGATACCAGGAGGGGTCGCGGACCTGGTATGGGTCGGGCTTGGCATGAGTCACGACTGGTATGGTATGGGCTGGGCATGGCATGAGTCACGGCTGGTATGACGGATTGCTTGGGACAAAGTAGTTCGTGAACATGCACGGGGAAATGTTTGATGCTGCATGGTGCGTGTTGCTGAGCAGTGGTGATTGCTGGTTAGTGGAGCATTGGGCAAGGCACACGGGTTTAGTGTGACTTTTCAGGGGCGCTGTTGTGTTAGTGGCAGTGTGGATACCAGGAGGGGACATGGACCTGGTATGGGCCAGATGCAGGAGGTCAGCTGAATGGGGCAGTTAGCATGAGTCGCGGCTGGTATAACAAAATATGGTGGTCGACGGCTGAGGACGAATGGCTTGGGACAAAGCGATTCGCGTACATGCACTGGGAAACGTTTGATTGTGCGTGGTGCATGTGGCTGGCTAGTTGGGATGATCATGGTTGTTCCTACCCGTATGTGAGATAAGCTTTTCTCCTAAAGGGCATATTTGTAAAGGTGGAGATGGTGAGATAAGTCTTTTCTCTTAAAAGAGCATATTTGTGAAGGTGGAGATGGTGAAAATTCTCTCCTATTTGTTAGAGCTGTCGAAACGGGTCGGCGGGACGGGGCCCGCCAAGGCCCGCCATATGGTGGGGGCGGGCTAAAAAGCTCGTCAAAATACGGGCATAGGGGAGGTCGGCCCGCCCTGCCCCGCCTTAAGCCCGCGGGCCTTGGCGGGGGCCCGCTAAATCTTAAAAGTTTCAATATTAAATAAAAATTATATTAATGTAAAAAAAAAAAAAAAGTGTATACTAAATTAATTTGGATAGTTTAAACATATGTTAATGCATTTGTAATTTTTTTAAATACAAAACTAATTAACAAATAATCAAATACATAATGTGTTAATCTATAAATCAATAACGAATCATTTATACTATGTAATAATTTTATTTTTTTTTTTGAGAATAAGAGCTTAATGTATTAATTCAGATCCAAGAATGTTCGCAAGAAACTGGGGAGGAATATGGAACCACTCCCCACAACCTGACAGTGAAACGCCCTCCCTAGCTAGAGCATGGGCAGCACGATTCGCAGATCGCCTAGCAAAACTAAAGACCACATCCTGTATCAAAGATGCAGCCTCTTTTACATCATCAATTATCAAACTAAAAGGCGAGTTATAAGAAGGGGAAGATAAGGCATAAAAAACAATCTGGGAATCAGTTTCCACATCAATACTCCCATAATCCAAAGCCTTGACCCAACTTAGAGCCTCCCGAATACTGACCGCCTTGGCTTCTTTAACATCATAATCCCCCACATAGTTTGAGCTCTTCGCAGCAACGAGGGTCCCCATTTCATCTCTAACAACCCACCCCATACCCATGGAGCCGTTTGAACTCATTGCGACATCAGTGTTCAGCTTTAAACAGCCGAAAGATGGCGGCTTCCAACTCTCCTCTTCAGTCTCTTGAACAGCGGGTGCATCCCCCTCATTCGCACACTTCCAATTACTCCACAAAGACAGAGCAGAACGCAGCATCAAATCCATAGAGTACGGAACATTCCTCCACACCGAATCATTCCTACTACACCACAAACCCCAGCATGCCATTACAAATTTGCATAAATTATCACCATCTAAATTACTGAGATTCTCAAAAAACCAATCTGAGACATTACCAGTTCCTGTAGGCACGATTAGTAAGCCAAGAGCCGCCCAAACCTTAACTGCCTCACTGCAAGTAGCAAACAGATGCAAGGCGGATTCCTCAAACTGGTGGCACAAATGACAAGTTACCTGGCAAGCAACACGTTTGTTAACAATAAATCACGAGCAGGTAAATACTGAGAAGCAAGCTGCCAACAAAAAATCCTCACCTTTGGAGGGACCTGTAAGCTCCAAATTCTCGCCCAAGGGCGCGAATCATTCGCCTCACCCACCAGCCGCCGATAGTAAGACCGAACCGTATAATTCCCTTTATGATCATCGGCCCAGTACCAAGAATCAGGGGGCAATCTAGTACTCAGTGGGAGTTTCATGATAAGAGCCGCATCACGGGCATCAAAAATATCCCTAACACAATCATAGTCCCAACCAGTTCCATCCACATTGAGCAAAGAGGAGACCGGAGCAATTGTAACCGACTCGTGTAATGGTGTTATAACATACGGATTCAACACATCTGGTAACCAAGGAACCTCCCCAATCTTTGTCCCTCGACCATCACCAATACTTCTACGACAGCCCCTTCTCAACACCTCCTTTGCCTCAAGCAACCCTCTCCAAACAAACGAAGGATTACTACCAGCTTCCGCTTGAAAGAACGAAGTGGTAGGATAATAACGTGCCTTATACACACGACTAACAAAAGAATTTGTCCTTGTGAGAAACCTCCAATCCTGCTTTCCAAGTAGGGCCAAATTCATGTCCCTGATCCTTCTAAAACCCATGCCCCCACACTTCTTAGGCAAACATACACCATCCTAGCTTTTCCATCGTATCCCTTTGCCATTACCAACACACCCAGTCCACCAATACTCATTCATCATGACCTCCAGCTCCTTACAAAGACCCTTAGGTAATAGGAAAATCATCATAGCAAAAGAGGGTAAGGCTTGAATAACATTCTTTAACAAAACCTCCCTTCCCGCTCGCGACAAAAACCTGGCATTCCAGCTCCTGACCCTATTCAACAATTTGTCCTTCAGGAATCCCAAAATCTCATTTTTCTTCCTCCCAACTAAGGAAGGGAGACCCAAATATTTCTCAGAGGTATTCCCTTCTCTCACGCCTAAGAGATCAGTGATCATGGTACGGATAAGATGCTGTGTATTTGAACTATAACAAATGATAGACTTGTCATAATTAACTTGCTGCCCCGATGCATCCGCAAAAACTTCTAGGACCCTTTTCATCTCAGCACATTCTACAGCATTGGCACGGAAAAAAAGGAAACAATCATCTGCAAAAAGCAGATGAGAAATCTGGGGGGCACCCCTTGCAACCCGCACCCCATGCAATAAGCCCCGCCCCATTTGCCGATCAATAAAAGAACTTAGCCCCTCAGCAATAAACAGAAAAAGATAAGGAGATAAAGGGTCACCTTGCCTGAGCCCGCGCCCCGGGGTGATTGGGCCAAACTGATGCTGGTCATGCAGAACATGATACCTTACCGAACTGACCGTCTCTATCATAATATCCACCCACTTCTGACCAAAACCCATCTTTAACAACACCCCCTGTAAAAACCGCCACTCAACACGGTCATAAGCCTTACTCATATCCACCTTCAGGGTTGCCACCCCTTCCTTCCCTTGGGTTTTCCTCTTCAAAAAGTGATGGACCTCATAGGCCGCCATAATGTTATCCGTTATTAAACGGCCCGGGATAAACGCACTTTGAGCCCCATTAATCAAACCCTCGAGCACCCCCTTTAAGCTATTGGCACACACTTTCGCTGCAATTTTGTAAAGCACGTTACACAGTGCTATAGGTCGCAAATCCTTCATAGTATCGGGATTCACTTTCTTCGGAATAAGCACAATATAAGTGTCATTTGCCTTCCCGGGCAACCTGGCCGTCTGTAGAAAATTCCTACAAAATATGGTTACATCACCCCCTACTATATCCCAGTAGTGCTGATAGAATCCCGGTCCAAGACCGTCCGGCCCGGGGGACTTATCCGGATGCATCTGAAACACGGCCCGACGCACCTCCTCTAAACTAACCGGTCTGAGCAGTTTAGCATTCTCCCCTGGTTTAAGCCGTGATGCAACACAATCTAAAACCTCCTCCATATCCCCATTAAATGGCTTAAAAAGCTCCGTAAAGTAATCCACCATTACCCCCCCCCCCATGTCCTCCACAGTTTCGGCAATTGTACCATCATCCCTGCGCAACTGTTTAATTCGATTTCGCCGCTTCCTTAAATTCACGGAGTTATGAAAATATTTAGTATTCAAATCACCCCCCCCCCCCCGGTACCAATGTTCCTTCGATCGCTGCCTCCAATAAACATGTTGTTGCTCCAATAAACGCAACAACTCCTTCTCAGTTCGTTCATAATCAACATACCCAGCTGGGTCTCGCCGTACCCTCAAATATTCCAGTCGTTTTTTACAGATCTCGATTTTACGATGGAATTCCCTATTAAAAGATTTCCCCCAACGCCAGATATCCTGCCCACACATCGCAATCCAGTCCAAAACATCTAATACCATAGTGCGGCCCCAACTGCTGTCAACAATTTTTCTGCACCTGTCCTCACGTAACCACATGTTATCGAAACAGAATCTCCGTCGCTTCGCCCCGTTCACGGTCGGTTCTGGTAAAAGTAGAAGAGGCTCATGATCACTGTAAGGGCATATCAGTGAGCACGCCGAAGCACCACCAAAAAGATTTAGCCAGGAGTCCGTAGTTAGAATCCTGTCCAATTTTTCCTCAATCATATCAGGAGTACCCCGCGATTTAACCCATGTGAACTGGTTACCCTGGAAAGCAAGTTCCGTGAGTCCACAGTCCTCTACTGCCTCCCTAAAGCCCGCAATCCTCCAGTTTGGGTGTGGGTTTCGCCCCCATTTCTCATACTGATGGAGAATATCATTATAATCTCCCATTATTACCCACGGCAGCGTGCTCACCCCGGAGAGAGTTCGAAGCAAATTCCAAGAATCCCTCCGCTGGGTCGACCCCGGATGAGCATAAAATCCCGTAAACCTCCACGTTGGGCTGTCTATATCCAACTTTATTGTCGTGTCAATATGGTTTTGTGAGAAACCAGTGATCTCAACATCCACCGCTTCATGCCAAAAGAGCACAAGACCCCCTCTATGACCATGTGCATCAACAACAAACATATTCCGAAACCCAAGCTGCACCCATATTGGCTCCAACCGCTGACCATCCACAAACGTTTCCATCAGAAAAACCACCTTCGGCCTCTTCGAGCGGATGATGTCCGCTAGAACACGAACTGCCGTTTGGTTGCCAAGCCCACGGCAATTCCAAGTTAAGAGACTCATAACTCTCGGCGGGTCTGCGCCGCGAGACCCGCCTCCAATCCGTTTTTTGACAACATCGTTTCACAGTCCATATCCGCAATCTGCCCCGACTCACTACCAGACACAACCTCAACTCTTCTTCGCTTCTGCTCGGCCACTACCAGCACTGGAGTGTCTACCCCCTCTGCCACATTAATAATATTACGGGAATCCACGTCTGCTCCATTTAAATTATCACGTGAATCCACCACTGCCACATTTATATTATCACGGGAATCCACCACTGCCTCATTTATATTATCACGGGAAACCACCACTGCCACGCTTATATTATTTCGGGAATCCACAGCAGTGCCCAACACCGGCGTCCTCTAATTCAAACGCTCAGCCTTCGTTTCCGGCGGAATCCACGGCTGCCCATTAGACGGAGCCCCACGCCTCGCCCCCGCCCTCAACCAGGCACCATACGGCTTCTCCACTTTAGGATCCCACCCATGCAAAGACTTGTGGCAATATTTATCCCCATGCCCGATCACACCACACACAAAACAGAACGTTGGAAGCCTCTCATACTTAAAATCAATTAACTCCCAGCCCCCGTTCTCCTTCTTAATCTTCATCTGCTTCTTCAACGGTTTAGCGACATCTATCAGCACACGAACCCGATAAAAGGTTCTTATTCCCCCATCAAAATTGCGCTCGTCAGCATGAACCAACGTACCCAAGAACGATCCAATAGCAGCAACAATAGCCTCAGATCGCAAACCCACTGGAAGAGCATGAATCTGAACCCATAGCTCTGCATGTGTTAGTGGTATGGCTTCCGAATCCTCTCCAGGCTGCACCCGCTTCATAATCAAGAGACACTGCTCAAAGGACCAAGGTCTATCATTGAGAATGCGTATGACATCCCCCTCGTGATAAAACCGTTACAAATAACGGCGTGAATGTAACTCCCGTGTGTTCACCCCCATCACCGGCCTCCAGACGGCAGCCATAGTATCCTGGAAGAAAGCAAAACGAACCGGTTTTTCTGTGACCAATCGTCCAACTACATAAATTCCATCCTCCCCATCCGCTTGTTCCACCGGGGCATGGGGGACTTGCACAAAATTATCCTCATCATCCACGTCGGCCAACGTAATCTTCTCACAAAGCACCGTAACCTCGTTCGCAGCCATCCCTTACGCAGAACGGCGAACAATCTCACGCCGGAACCACGTCGAAACGCAAAACCCTAATGAAAGACGGCAGAACTCGCGAAAGTAGCGAGAGAGAAAATCTTGTAATAATTTTTTAAAACTTGATTTTATATATATATATATATATATATATATATATATATATATATATATATATATATATATATATATATATATATATATATATATATATATATAGAGTTAATTCCATTTTTGGTCCTAGACTTATTAGGGTATTGACATTTTTCATCCTCCATAATAAAAATTGCCAGTTAGTAGCCACTCTTATTGTGATAATGCCACTTTTGGTCCTCCGTCTAATTTTCCGTCAGTTGACCGTCTAAATGAGGAGTATTTCTGTCATTCCATATTATATTCTTCTCAGCCTTTAATTAGAGCTCTCCCTCCTCTCAACTGCTTGAAAGAAATGATGGCAAACCCAACCCGGTCACCAGGCCTTTGCTTCGATGTTTCAATTACAGATTTTCCAAAAAAAAAAAAATGATTCAATTACAGAGTAAGTGAAGTAGCTCTCATTCTCGTTGTCGACGATGTTGAAATTGAAAGCGAGACTTTGTTTCGACGTGCGTAAAATTCCAGATCCGAATTTGGGCCCGTCATTCCAGTATTCCTCTGTGCTGTTCCACAATTGGAACGACGTGTTGCTGTCGTTGTCGATAGAATAGAGCATGGTGATGGATCGTCAGGAGTTTTTGAGGACGTGAGGAGTTGTTTGGGTTTGGTGCACTTGTTGTATCCGAACTTAGAACCGGACAGAAATGTGTCTGTTGGGTGTTCGACGGTTTGCCAAAATGGGGTTTTCGAACAGATGCGAGAAATCATCTCAAAATTGAACAAGTGAATTGGTAGATTAGGCAATTGAATTCATACCAAAGCTAATGGCGAGTCCCTGTTGGTTCAACACTATCATCCTCATCAATTATCAAGGCAAAATTGAATATAGGCAAAGTCATCCAAGCTACAACCAGCAGCAACACAATTCAACACAATTCGAAGCACAAAGCCATACCTGTCTGAATCAGTTTGTTCAACACTATCATCCTCATCAACAGAATTGCCATTAATTGTTGTCGCATGTCGAATTCTGTTCAAATCATCAGGAGCAAGTCCCACAAGTGCCCGATCTTGTCCACCAAACTGCCCATGCACCCTGTTCTGCCTGCCTTGGTCACCATTTCCATTCTCTTGCCCACTATTATCCTCAGGTCTAGGCAATAAGAACTAAAG